TAGGACTGCATCCATCATATTCCTGTTTTAGACAGTAAGTAAGAGGAAGGGAAGCAGAAAAAAGGGACCTTCTCGAAGTTTCCCTCAGTGACTTCACTAATATGTCATTGACCTATCAGAAATGGAGGCTGGGAAATTTTTTTAGTTGGGCACAACGCTTCCCCCAGGAATATAAAAGTTCTGTTTGTTAACTCAATAATGAGAAGACTGAAAACCCCAGCTAAAAAATAAACAGTCTGAATAGACAGTTCTCCAAAGAAGACACACAAATGGCTAATAAACATAAAAAAATGCTCAACATCTTTAGCCATCGGAGTCATGAAAATCAAAACCACGACAAAACACATCACATCCGCTAGGATGGCTATAGTCAAGAACCACAGATAACAAGAACTGTTGGCCAGGATGTGGCGAAATTAGAACTCTCAGACACTGCTGGTGGAAATGTTAAACGGTACAGCCACTTTGGAAACTGGTGTGGCAGTTCCTTAAAAGGTTAAATATAAAGTTACCATATCATACAGCAATTCCACTCCTTACAATTCCACTTGTAAGGAAAAATTTGCCAATAAACTAAATTGAAATGTCTGAGGTCAGGTTGTAATCGTAATAGATTTTTCCACTTTTTACAGATTTTTTTTATTTTTAAGTAATCTCTACACTTAATTTAGGGGCTTGAATTCACAGCCCCAAGATCAAGAGTCGCGTGTTCTACTGACTGAGCCAGACAAGCCCCCCTTTAATAGATTTTCCAAATGAAAATAGTTTCTTTCTTAGCATTAGCATATAATATTTTATTAGGCTCTTACCAAAATGCTTCATACATAGCAAGTGCCCAATATATATATTTGACTAAGTGAATGAGTATGTTGATACTGTAAATATTTTTTTAAAAGATTTTATTTATTTATTTGACGGACAGAGATTACAGGTAGGCAGAGAAGCAGGCAGAGAGAGAGAGGAGGAAGCAGGCTCCCTGCAGAGCAGAGAACCCAATGTGGGGCTCAATCCCAGGACCCTGGGATCATGACCCAAGCCGAAGGCAGAGGCTTTAACCCACTGAGCCACCCAGGTGCCCCTGTAAATATTTTTTTAAAAGATTTTATTTATTTATCTGACAGAGATCACAAGTAGGCAGAAAGTCAGGCAGAGAGAGAGAGAGAGAGAGAGAGAGAGAGAGAGGAAGGGAAGCAGGCTCCCCATGAAGCAGAGAGCCGGATGCGGGGGCTGGATCCCAGGACCCAGAGATCATGACCTGAGCTGAAGGCAGAGGCTTTAACCCACTGAGCTACCCAGGTACCCCAGATACTGTAAATATTTTAGAATGAAATCTCCATAGGGCAAAGGATGGTATCCTCCGTTGGAATCCTTTCATTATAGCACAGAATTCAATATTTTGATACTAAAAGTATTATTTTTGTATTGATATCAATGGGGTATGTAAGCAAGAGAAATGAAAAAAAATGGCCACACAAAAATTTGTCCGTGAATGTTCATAGCAACATTACTCATAATAGCCAAAAAATGGAAACAGAGGTGCCTGGGTGGCTCAGTTGATTAAGCGTCTGCCTTTGGCTCAGTTCATGATCCCAGCATCCTAGGATGGAACCCTGCATCAGGCTCCTTGCTCCATGGGAAACCTGCTTCTCCCTCTCTCACTCCCCCTACTTGTGTTCCCTCTCTCGCTGTTTCTCTCTCTGTCAAATAAATAAAATCTTAAAAAAAAAAAAAAAAAAAGGAAACAACCCAAATAACCATCAATCGATGAATGAAAAAATAAAATGTGGCATAAACCACACAATGGAACATTGCTCAGCAATCAAAAGGGACAAAGTCCTGATAGATGCTCCAACACGGACGAACCTTGGAGGTCTGATGCTCAGGTGAAAGAAGGTAGTCACAGAGGACCCCATGTTATATGATTTCATTTATGTAAAATGTGCAAAATAGGCAAATCTATAGAGACAAGAAGTAAATTAGTGGTTGCCAGCGGCAATAAAATCTTGTAATAAAATAAAATAACTGTTCAAAAACAGTTCAGTTAGGAAGGAATAAAGGTAGACTGAATATCAGGTAGGCAACACGCAGTTTTTGCCAGTTAATCTCCAAATCATAAACAGTTCCTAAAAATCAATTAAAAAATTAATAACTTTGCAGGAACATGAAAAATGATTTGAAATGATTTTTTTCTTTTTCTTTTTTTAAAGATTTTATTTACTTATTTAACAGAGAAGAGGCACAGTGAGAGAGGGAACACAAGCAGGGGGAGTGGGAGAGGGAGAAGCAGGGTCCCCACTGAGCAGGGAGCCTGATGTGGGGCTCGATCTCAGGACCCTGGGAGCAGCTGAAGGCAGATGCTTAATCGACTGAGCCACCCAGGCGCCCCAAACTCTACATCTTTATTCATAAATGAAAGTGATGCTGAGAGTTCATGGACTTGTATGTTTCTCTATGTACACTTAAGTTTAAATATTACTTTTATAATTCCAGGAGATTCCATCTAGACCATTCTAGAGGAAAGATGTCATCAGAGAGGACATGGAGTATCTAGCTGTCATTACACAGTGTAGATTCAGTCCTCGTCAACGAAACACAAAATAAAACCTCTAGTGGCTCCTCCCAGTTTTTAGGATAAAGTCCAGCTTCCTCAGTGTGCTCAGCTCCGTTTGCAGCTCCTACCTCATGTCCCTAAGCCTCTTGTTCCATCCAGCAGAGCTACCCACTTTTTTTTTTAACATTTTATTTATTTGTTTGTTTATTTGAGAAAGAGAGAGAAGGGGGAGGAGCAGAGGGAGAGGGACAAGGAGACTTCACGCTGAGTGTGGAGCACCACACGGGGCTCAATCCCACGACTCTGAGATCACAACCTGAGTCAAAATCAAGAGTCAGCCGCTTAACCGACTGAGCCATCCAGGCGCCAACTACTTTCTTTGCACCGGTACTGACTGGCCTCTCTCTCCTCCAGGACTTACCAAAGGTGCTTCCTCTGTCTGGAATCTTTGCGCTGAATATATGATATTATCTAGATACATGTACTATAAAATTATCCCCTGGCACTCAGTAAAAGCTCTGCAAGTGTCAGGTATCATTATTATAACATCTGTCTCATTATATTGAATTACTCGTTTACTTAACCCTGTCAGTGGACTGTGAGGCTCCAGATGATAGGAACTGTCCTTTATTGTCCTTGGGTGCCCAGTACTCACAGCCTGGCACAGAGTAAGCGCTTAATTAAAGCAGGGCTCGATGATACTTCCCTCATCCTTCTGTCATGTCTTTTCTTCCCACCTAATATGTCTTCTTCTTTCTTCTGGGCCAAGGAAAATCACAGCCTTTCCCGCTAGCTACATCAGACCACGTGGACTTTTCCTTTCCCACTCCAACAATACAGTTGGGTTCATTTGCCTCACATTTCTAACCTTCCTGAGTGTTTCCACATTTCCTTTCTTATTCCTCACGACAATCCCAGGACTGAGGAAACAGGCAAGAGGTGGGGAGGGCCAGGGAGATCCAGACAGAGGGTCAACTAAGTGCAAGGCAATTTACCCACATTTTCTCTTTCGACCTTCTAAGAATCCTTATGGAAACGGATGTCTTTATCCCTAATTCACAAATGTGAAGATTAAACCTCAGTAAAAGTTAATATAACCTGCTGAGGAACACATAGGGATTAAACGGTAGGGTGGGTTTTGAACCTGGTGTCTCTGACTCTGCCAGTTCCATGACATCAAGTGACCAGATTTGTCTATTAACTGTTTTATCCAAGCTGGACAGGGCAGGAGGTAACAGGTCCTGATTTCTAGCCCACTAGATCTTCCATCAGATCACTTTGTGTGTCATAGTAAGTCTGTAACACACAATTTAACAATAAATCATGATATCTTACCTTGTTGCCTAACTGTTTTATTTATATTAGATCCCATAAGATTGGTACTATCTCCCTTTCTCCTGGCAGGAATTGGGTCATAAATATTAACCACTCTGAGCCTTAGTCTCCTCTTCTTTCAAATATCTATCTCACAGGACTGGTGTAAACATTAAATCACTTGTGAAGACATCTCACATGGTATCTGGCACAAACTCTCAGGAAATATTTGCTGAACCTTAACTTCTTTTTCATCTCCTTCAACAAGTCACGCAGACCTGACTGCCTGTCTAGGGCTCTATCAGGTCTTGTTGTCTACATTACAACGTTGGATGAGGAGTATTTCGGTGGGCGCTTGTTGGATTTTCTCCCCTACTAGCCCCTAAAAGGTTTGCATCAAACCAGTCCAGGATATGAGGAAAAGTGAAATGCTCCGAACGGGTTTAGCAATCTACATTGCATTAGCATAGGTTACACACACACTCGAATCCCGTCTGTTGGTGTCACTTGAGCCTATTTTACAGATGAGAAAGTAGAGTCTCAGGTAAATTGCTAGTAAACTGCAGATTTGCCAAGACTCCAACCCTGGTCTTAAGATACATTGGCCTGGGCTTCTTCCGCTCCACCAAGCCACCTTGCAAAGGTCAGCCGAGCGCAAGGCTGGAGTGGGGGTAGAAACCAGACCACATACTTTGGTGTCTCTTGCTCCTCTTCCCCCTTTAGCTTCGGAGCATGTTTCTTCTGAAGTCACAATACTTTTGCTTTGAGGATGTGCGGTCCCTTTAACGTCTTGAGTGACTTCCGCGTAGCCCCGCCCATCTCCCCTCCCCACTGCCCTGTTCCAAGCCCCACCCACTGCTTTTTGTCCTGGGCCAATTAACGCCCAGACTTCTCAGGACTAGGAAGTTGGCTTCCTGACCGGGCGACTACTGGCCCACTTGCTCCCGGGCGGATTTTTCGCGTCAGTTGGTCGCGGACCCCTCGCGGCCCTCCTCTCAGCGGTTGCGCCGTTGTTGTAACCAAGTGTCCCGCCCCATCGTTTCCATAACAACAGTACACAACGCCTCCCGGCGCCTTTCCCCTCTTCCAAAACACTCCTTCCTTGTCAAGGCCAAGACCCTCTCCGGAACCTCATTTTTTAGTAGGGCGGAACCAGAGTCCGAGCCCCTTAGTGAAGGATTGGGTGGGAGGGTTGGAGAGGGCGTCAGTTTGGTGCCCCAGAGGGGACGGGGAAATGGGGCTAGACAGGGTGGGAAAGTGAAAAGAAATGACTGGAGCAGGGGTTAGGGAAGGCAGGGAGGGGAGGGGTGTAGGAGGTTGGTAGGAGAACGTGGCTGAAGGGGGAGGCGGGAAGACCTGGGGAGAGGGGAAGTCAGGAAGCAGGGAGGCAGAGCTTCGAGAAGACAATTGGAGCCCCTGTGAAGGGCAGGAAAGGCCTGGGAAGGTACCCTGAAGGGAGAGAGGTCCTTGGTGGGAAGTCAAGGTGGAGGCTGGGCATCAAAATGAGATGCTCACAGGGATAAGGAGGGAAGCACAGTTGGGAAGAGATCAGGGGTGATGGGAAGGGCACCCCGTCAATGGAGGCCAGGAGCTGAGGGTTTGCTAAAGCTCAGGACACATTATTTTGGGGGAGGTGCACTGAGCTTGATCTCTCACTCCAGAGCCTTCAGCAGGGAAGAAAGATGTCAGATGAAGAGCTGGAAGACTTTGAGCCAGACCAGGACGATCTGGAAAAAGAAGATGATGAGAAGGAGATGGAGGAGTGGGAGGACTACAGGAAGGAGGGAGAAGAGTACTCAGAGGAAGTGAGAGCTGGAAACGGTGGGGTCCTAAGGCTAAGGGAGGGGGTTGGGACAAAAGGGATGCCTGACTCCACTTCTTCTTGCAGTGGATGCTCAACCCCCTCACGGAGGACATGATGAAGGAAGGGCTTTCTTTGCTCTGTAAGACGGGCAATGGACTGGCTCACGCTTATGTCAAGCTGGATGTTAAAGAGAGGTGCGCTTATGGGGGGACCAGAAGAGGGCTGAGGTTGTAGGGTCCAATCTCCTCTCTCACCCTCCTGCCTGGCTGTTGCCATTGGGAGTCTGAATCTCTCTTACCTTGGCCAGTGGAAGGGAAGGATAGAATTTACTTTCCAGGAGCCCTGTGGGTCCCTGCTTCAGAGCTGGCCTGGGGAATTGGAGGCTATGAGGGTCTGTCAGGGGGATTCCTACTGGACTGGACTCCTCCTCTTGTACTTCAGAGGGTCAGTTCTCGGCTCTTCACAGATGGAAGCCCCTGCTCCCTGTGAAGAACCCACCTACCTTCTCTCCCCCTCCCTCACCACTCCCATCAGTCACCCATTCTTCTCTCCAGTACAAGCCATCTCCACATTGCCCTCTGCTGTAGCATCTCTGCCAGTCCTTGCTGGATTCTTCACTCTAACTCTGGCCTCTGCTGTCTCCTAGGGACCTGACCGACATCCACCTGTTACGGTCCTACATCCATCTGCGCTATGTGGATGTTTCTGAGAACCACCTCACAGACTTGTCCCCACTCAATAATCTGACCCACCTGCTCTGGCTCAAGGCCGATGGCAACAATCTGCGGAGTGCACACCTGAACGAGCTGCCGTACCTGCAGATTGCCAGCTTTGCCTATAACCAGATCACTGACACTGAGGGTATCTCCCACCCTCGTCTGGGCAGCCTGGATCTCAAAGGTGGGTCTTTCAGTCGGGCTACACAAGAGTCTCTCCTTCCTAGCTTGGGGCCAGCAGAAGCGGGCAGTGTGGTCTTGGGCTGTGCCACACAGTAATCTCCATTCATTCATTCATTCATTCAGACAGCCCTTATGATTCACTATGACATTTCTATGTGCTGGAGATGTAGCAGTAAACAAAACAAAATCCCTAGTCTCATGCAGCTTACATTCAAATAAGGGAGACAGACAGCTACCAATGGGCATAATAAATAAATTTATGTGTGATGTGGAGAGGAAATAGGTGCTGTGGAAAACAGATTAGGGTAAAGGGACTAGGTAGAGGCACAGGTGGTAATTTCAAACAGGCTGGTTAGGACAAGCGTCAGTGAGAGGCTGACATCTGAGCAAAGAATTGAGGGAGAAGAAGGAGTTAAGCATGGGGGTTACTGGGCAGTCTTCATTCCCTCCTCAAAGGCTTGGATGGACATGTCCATTTGGCCCTTAGACTCCCAGACCCCTTGCCCCAGGGCCCCAGAGGTGTCAAGTCTGGAGCTGTCCCTCCTCATAGACACCTCACATTAGAGGGACAGGATGATACAGAGGCTCCCAACATTCAGGTTCTACCTGAATTGGAATAGCTCTATGAGCTCATACCACCCTCTTGCTCCTTAGGGAACCGCATCCGCAGGGTGACTGGTCTGGACCCCCAAAAGCTGATCAGCCTGCACACACTGGAGCTGCGGGGGAACCAGCTGGAGAGCACCCTGGGAATCAACCTTCCTAAGCTAAAGAACCTCTTCCTGGTAGCTTACTGGGTTAGGGGGTGGTTGGTACGGGGAAGAGGGCACAGCTCAGGGCCGAGGGGTGGGGAGCAGGGTGCCTGGCTTCTAGTCGGCTCAGCTATTAACCTCACCATCATCATGGGCATTTGGTATCATTTACTGAGCCCTTCCTACTTTGTAGGGCTGATAATACATAACACAAGGGAATAGAGACAATTTGCTTTGATACAGGTAGTAGTGTAATTTACAGATATCAGACTAGAGAAGCCACTTGAATGTTAAGTCTTTTTGGCTCTTGAGCTTCTCGATTCTAGGGCGGTGCTGAAGCCATTTCTGCTCAGTGGAGCAGTGGGGCGCATGGGCTTCGGCGTGGGTGAAAGCATCTCCTCCCGAATCAGAGGGGGCTTTGGTGGGATGGGGATGGTTACTGCTGACCTTTCTCTGGACTGGCAGCTTTTCCTAGATTTCTTTGATGTCTACCCCCATCTCTACCCACTTCCACTCCCCTCCTGCACCCCTGCACTGCCACTCTTACATTTCCTGTGTCTCTGACTTCTCTTCCCTGTCCCTGCTACCTTCTCCCGATCTCTGTGCTATATCCTGGGGGCTAGGCCCAGAACATGCTGAAGAAGGTGGAGGGCTTGGAGCACCTAAGCAATCTCACTACCTTGCATCTTCGAGACAACCAGATTGAAACGCTGAGTGGCTTCTCCAAAGAAATGACATCACTGCAGTATCTCAATCTGAGGTATTCACCCCTTCCTGGCCCCACCTTGTCCCTGCCCTGGACCAGGAGCGGCTTCTGACCCCACATTCCTCCCTGGCTCCAAAGCCCCAATCCTAGCCTGCTCCTAGACTCTCCCCTCATCCTCCATCCTGGTCTTTAGCCCTCCTTTCCTTACTGTGTACAGCCTCGGACCCCTGAATCTTTATTCACTCAGTCCACAGTTACTGAGAATGTGCGACATACCAGGCTTGGTGCTGTATTCTGGGAACATCTAAAGGAATCAGAGTTGGTCCCTGTTTTCAAGGGATTCACAATCTGGCTCCAACTCTCTTTTCTTGGTCCTATTCCATGTAAATTTTCTCTGCCCTTCTCCACCTCCTGGACTCCCATTTCCCTTCCCATTTCCTGCCCCTCTTCTCCTGAGCCCTACTTGTAAGGGATGGCTCCTTACTGGTATAAAAACACAAGATGTTCTCATATTTGAGAAGAGAAGAGTATTTGAAAGAAAATCTCTAGATGGAAAGGCACTGGGGATTGATCGGATTGGTGGGGGGGTGGATTTTCTTTCAGTAACCCTTGTCCATTGGAGGATTTTATGTGTGTTTCTTTAAGCAAGATGGAAGGTAACTGCCTCCTTAGTCAACATGGCCAAATCCTCAAAACTGGCAAAGGAAAGAGAACCTCCAAGTAGGGAGAGATGGATGCATCTTGGAGCTCCCAATTCCTGCCATGGTTCCTGGGGAAATCTCTTGTTAATTAGTTCTGCTGTGTTGGTCTGGTAGAGTTGGGGGGGCTTGCTCTTTTCCTATTAATAATCTAGTCAGAGAAAATAGACCCTCCTCAATGGCTACTAACTGGGGTTGTTTGGACATAAGTGTAGGGGAGATGCCCCTTAATGACTGGGAGATGCCTCTGGGGCCAAAGATGCTAGATCCCTAGCTCCAGGCTCCTTCCTGAGGGGAGTACCAACCTAGCACCCACCTCCATGAGCTCAGATCCCAGTTCCTTCTCCACTGGCCTGGGTCCTGCTTTCTAACCTTTGATTAGGTACGACTGATACACAAGCACTTTGACACTGCAAGGGAGATATCCCCCCTCCTCTCCAACTAACGAGACAGGGTTGGTGACATAGCTTTGCTGCTCCAAAAGGAGAACTATGACCAGCATGTTACAGAACAGACCGTGGCACTCACAGTGTTCTGGAAGGGCCGAGGCAGCACTAGAGTAGGGCTGGACAGCCCTGGCTCTGCTCAGGTTATCCAGCTATGCTGATCAAGCCAATCCACAGAGGCAGTGTTTCTAGGGAAACCAGAGCCCGGTGAGAGGTTCTTGCAGGAGATTTCTTCCTGGTGGTGGGGCCCCCAAAGCCCATTAATCCCCCCTGGAGTGAATCCCTCCTGACCACACCTGGCAGGGGCAACATGGTGACCCACCTGGGGGAGCTAGCCAAGCTTCGAGACCTGCCCAAGCTGCGAGCCTTGGTGCTGTTGGACAACCCGTGTACAGATGAGAACGACTATCGCCAGGAGGCCCTGGTGCAGATAACACACCTCGAGCGCCTGGATAAAGATTTCTTCGAGGAAGAGGAGCGGGCCGAGGCTGATGAGATCCGTCAGAGGTTGAAGGAGACCCAGGAGGAGGAGGCTGAGGCTGAGCATAACTCCGAACTGAAAGTGCCATCCGTGTAGCTCTTCCAGCCTCGGAGGACGGTGAGGAAGCTGACAGAGAGGCGGGAAGAGGAGGCCAAGGGTCTGTCAGCCGGAGCCAGAGAAGTTGCTGTAAGAGGAGGTGGTTGAGGAAGGAATATGGCAAGGAGATCCCTTGGAGAGACCAGGCTTAGGAGTTAGGGGGTGTCTTGGGGTGGGGAGGAAGGACCAGAGGGGCTTGGGGGGGGAGCTGAGAAAAGGCTTAGGAGAATACGTTAGGAGAGGAAAGTTAAGGGAGAGAATTGGGGTGGCAGGCAGAGATGCCCGTGTGCAGCCACACATGAAGGTCAGCTGGAAAGGACCGGTCTGGGGGTGTGGTGGTGGGGGCGCTGGGGGTGGAGGGTGGAGGTGGTGGTTAAGGATGGGAGCTGGGCTGAGGAGAGGAGGCAGGGGAGGAAGATTTTGCACTAAAAATCTGAATCTAAAAATAACAGGAAAAAAAAATAAAAATAACAGGAAACAGGGATGAGGGGAAGAAAGGAGGACAGGATAAGGCAGAAAGAGAGTGAGGTGACCAGCCCAGGGGAGTATGGTGGCTGGGCACTCTGGAAGGGGGCACAGGAAGCAAGGGGAATGCAGTAAGGCCCAGGGGCTTTCCTTCCGCCCTCTTCCTCCAGGAGATCAAAGACACTGGCCCTAAGACCTGAGAAGACTCCCAGAGAGCTCCACTTCCACATTCAACCCCTCATCCTGAGACAGAGTATGGCTTCTCTTGGCCCAGACCTGGGATTTCATCACAGCCTGCTGCCCAGGCTCTGTAATGGGCACCTGGGCAGCGTCTGGGTGGGTCTGATCCCTGCCTGGAACCTGTGTGTATGTGTGCGCGCGCGCGTGTGTGTGTCTGGGGGGAGGGGTGTGTGTGTGTTGGGGGGGGGGCTCAGGCAGGTGTAGGGGAACCAGGCCGGGATCTGCCCAGGGGATGCTTGCAGAATTGGCTGCAGAGGAGCTGCGGAGGCGGAGGGGTGTGTGAGAAACAGTTTGGTTTTCAAATAAAGAGACATTTTGATACTCTTGCGTCTGATTGGGGTTGTGAGACACCAAATCTGTCATAGGCTTCACTGGTGTGAGGCTGTGCCTGTTACTTCCCAGGGTAGCGGGGCGTGGGTGTGAGCGCGCGTGGGTGCCGGGCCTCAGGGCCTGGGTCGCCACCGCCCCCCCATTTCTCTTCTCCCGGCCTCCCCCTATCTCCCCCATCGGCCCCCCAACCGCGCTCCTACGTGCTCCTCCGCCGGAGGCTCTGACTCATCGGGGGCTCCGGGTCACATGCGCCCGCCCGGCCCTATCGGCGCCTCCCCCCGCCCGCCCCCCGCCCGCCGCCCGGGAGCCGCAGCCGCCGCCGCCACCACTCCCGCTCTCTCTGCGTCGCCGCCGCCGCCGCCCCTGCCGCCGCCACCCCTGCCACCGCCACCGCCACAGGCTGAATCTGCAGCCCCGAGGTGAAGCCCCGGCTGGCCCCTGCGACCCTCTGGGCCCCCTCCCCTAGCCACCGTGGCCCCCCCACCCCCGCCTGCCCGCCCTCTCCCCTGGCCTGCGCGCATCCCTCGCCCCGCGGCGCTGCGCACCTGCTCTATCATCCGCACCTCCCCCGGGCATCCTCCCTCCCCGGCCTTCTGGGACCGCTCCTCTCGGTTTCCGGCTGTTGCCCCCTCCTCATCTGAGCGCCAGGCCTCCCTGCACCTGTTTCTCTCTAACTGCGCCTTTCTCTACCCTTGTCTGACCCTCTCCCCACACCTCTTCGCCTCGGGTTCTGTCCATGTTAAGTTCGGGGTCTTCACGGGCCGTACATTTTTATCCTAGCACGTCCCCTGGCTTTGCATCTGGGGAAACGTCTTCTCCCATTCCTCAGCATACCTAGACTTCTAGACTCCCTTCTTTCCCACTACCCCCCCCACCCATTGCCCCTCTCCTTTTACATTACCTCTCGATGCTGCACGGGGGAGGGATGGGAAGAGGGGAGAATTTGTCTAGGGGATGCGGGGTGTTGGGGAGGGGGGTGTTGGGGAGCGGGGAGGATGGGCCCAGCCTTGCCTCTTCCCCCAGATCTCTTCTCCATCCCCACTCAACTCCCAAGGACTGAGGGCTTCCCCAGGACCCTCTCGCCACTGTACATCTCTTGGGAAGAGAAGGGACAGATGTTTGGGAGAGGGGCTAGGATCCTGGAATGGGGGTTGGGGTGTTAAGTTAGGGTGGGTTGTGGGCTCTGGAGAAGAGGCCCCAGCTACCCAGACAGTCCATCCTTTTCTTGGCTCCAAGGAGAAATGCAAGCCTGGCAGCCATTACACTCTGAAATCTGGGGGAACCCCACCAGTGGGCTGCTGGAGCTACTGAGGGGGCAAGGGAACCTCTCCCAGGGCCCCTCCCTCCTCACTGCGGTGTCCTCCCTTTTCACCGATTGATCCTTCCCCTCCCCCCACTGCAGTGACCTCCCCTTCCTCACTGCATTGACCTTCGCTCCCCATGGGGTGGGGGGGATCCCTTCTAAAGGCAGGACTGCAGCCAGCTCCTCCCCACCCCCCACCCACTGCAGTAACCTCTTTCCCATCCCTCCCAGCCTCTGGTCCCTCCCACTGATCAGGCTCCACCTCTCTAAACCTCTTATCTTTCTCCTTCCTTTCCTTCCACTGGAGATCTCAGCCATCATGTCGATAGAGAAGATCTGGGCCCGGGAGATCCTGGACTCCCGTGGGAACCCCACGGTGGAGGTGGATCTCCACACTGCCAAAGGTAGTGAGCCTGGCCTTGGGTCTTCCCACAGCCCTCAGTCGGGGTTTCCCCTGGCCCTGGAGGGGGTGATGCCTTGATTCCCAGTGGGGATGGGGTGCTGGGCCAGGCTTACAAGCCTGGATTATGGGGGTTGCATCCTCTCTGTCCAGGGGAGCCAGAATAGGCCAATCTGTGTGTCCTGTTTCAGTGTATGAGGTATACCGTTCCAATGCACGTCTGTGTGTGCCCAGGGCATGTGGGCGTGTGTGTGCTGACAGCATATCTTCGTGTCTGTGGGGTCCTCCTTGTGCATGTGGGACCTCAGCTGCACAGATGAGGAGGCCACTGCCTGTGTGTGTGTGTGTGTGTGTGCACGCGCGTGTGCATTAGAGAGCAGTGTGGGGATGGGACTGGATGTGGCAGGCAGCTTGGAGCTGGAAGGCTGAAGGAATCCCTAGGCCCCTGAGTATCCTTCTGTGCCCCTCCTTATTTCATGTTCCTCTCCCAGGTGTTTTCCGGGCTGCGGTGCCCAGTGGAGCCTCCACTGGGATCTATGAGGCCCTGGAGCTGAGGGATGGGGACAAACAGCGTTACTTAGGCAAAGGTGAGGCCCTTTCTCTTTTCCAGGCTCTCCCATGCCTCAGCTTTATACTCTTAACCTTACACCAGTTCCCAACCCCCTTTTTGCATGCCCCCCACTTCTGGCCCCTTCCACCTGACCCAGCTGGGCCTCCCTGCCTCTCCCCAGGTGTCCTGAAGGCAGTGGACCACATCAACACCACCATCGCTCCTGCCCTCATCAGCTCAGTGAGGCCCACTCTTTGCTGGGGGCCAGGGAAGCGGGGGGGTGGGCTGGGGCGCTGGTGGGCAGGACCACGATCCTGAAGGAATCTTGGATTAGGGGAGAAGGGATCCAGGGGATAAAGGTCCACCTCTTGGGAATCATGGTTACCAAGGAAGGGTGGGAAGACTCCCTTACCGCTCCCTGTCCCTGTGGGGTTCAGGTTCTCTAATCCAGACAGGCTGCTCTCCCAGGAACCCTGGCCAGAGGGGAACCTGCCTTAGGGCCCAGCCTCCATGCTGGCCTGGGGTGATGGTGGCTCTGCCCACAGGGTCTCTCTGTGGTGGAGCAGGAGAAGCTGGACAACCTCATGTTGGAGCTAGATGGGACTGAGAACAAATGTAAGCTGGGCTGGGCGAAAGTGGGGAGGTGGGAGGGGGAGGACGTGTGGAGCACATAGTGTGGAGCACTATGGGGGCTTCCTTAGGAAGGACTGTCAGGAGTTAGCCCAGCTTCCATTCTCCTCCCAAAGCCAGAATAAGAGAAGATTAATTTAACTGCAGTGGGAGGGAGTGACATTAGACAGAAGGAAGAACTTCCTTGCAGCATGAAGAGGGCGAGCTGGCAGGAGATAGCCTATGGTCTCGGGATGCCTAGAAATAGGTGGAGCTCTCTGCCCTTTCCCATCACGTCATGTGTGTGTGTGTGTGTGTGTGTGTCCCGCTATTTTCAGGGGAGCACTGATGAGGTGTTGTAGGAGTGGAGAGGGAGGAGGGGGTCTCCTTTACTGGCTCCTTTTGGGAGTGCAGGTGGAGGCCGGGGCTCGAAAAGATGGGGCCATTTTTGCTCAGTGCCTTCCTCTATAATCTCCCAGCCAAGTTTGGGGCCAATGCCATCCTGGGTGTGTCCCTGGCCGTGTGTAAGGCAGGGGCGGCCGAGCGGGAATTGCCCCTGTATCGCCACATTGCTCAGTTGGCTGGAAACTCAGACCTCATCCTTCCGGTGCCGGTGAGCCATGCCTGCCCTGCCTCGGCCTCTCCCGGGGGTGGGCGTTGGGCGGGGGGAGCATGAGACCTTGTGAGGAATGATGGGGGAGAGTGCATTGAGTCAGCTAAAGAGAAAGAATGGGGGCAGGAGACTTTGAGTCTGGGAAATGGGGGCAGACACTCTCGGGTTAACACTCTTGGGGGTGGAGGAGGGAAGTGCTCTGTGAGTTTTCTGTCCTGTGGCCCCCCCAGGCCTTCAACGTGATCAATGGTGGCTCTCATGCTGGGAATAAGCTGGCCATGCAGGAATTTATGATCCTCCCAGTGGGCGCTGAGAGCTTTCGGGATGCCATGCGACTCGGGGCAGAGGTCTACCACACACTCAAGGGCGTCATCAAGGACAAGTATGGCAAGGATGCCACCAATGTGGGAGATGAAGGCGGCTTTGCCCCCAACATCCTGGAGAACAGTGAAGGTGAGGCCAAGAGCCCCACTCCCTGCTTCAAGTTTCACTCTGTCCTGGGACATCAGGAAGGGCCACACACTTCACCAGGTCCTGAGGAGTATGGTGGCCCTTGAGCTAGCTCCAAGAGGTACCAGTACTGGAACTGGGTCCCAGAAAGCCTGCCACATTCACATGCAGGCCTAAGAGGACAGTCTTTACCAGCCCAGCTAGATTTGTTAGCTATCTATCTATCTATCTATCTATCTATCTATCTATCTATCTATTTGTAGAAAGATAGATAGATAATATATCTATATCTGCCTATATATATAGTTTAAGATTTTATGTACTTGAGAGAGAGAGAGAGCGTGTGCACGCATGAGTGGTGGGAGGGGCAGAGGGAGAGGGAGAAGCAGACTCCCCACTGAGCAGGAAGCCTGATGAGGGGCTCTATCCCAGGACCCCAAGATCATGAGCTGAAGACAGACGCTTAACTGACTGAGCCATGTAGGCGCCCCTTGTTAGCAACTCTAAGTTCTTACTGGAGGCCCTGGAAATGCTGGGAAGTGGTCTAGGTGCCTTGTAGGATCCATCCTGGACTTGAACTTCATAGGACTCTCAGTTTGATGAGATAATATCATACTCTATGGATTCTATTCTAAGTCTGACCCATTTCCATCCCAACCTCTCAGTGAGCCTCTAAGATCCCTAATTTTTCTCTGCCTTGGCGAGAGCTGTATGGTGAATAAAAACAATAACAGGAAGTGGCTGAGAGTTCAGGTTCTGGGGCCAAATTGCCTCTATTTGAACCTTGACTTGAAGAGTTACTGGCTGGTGATCTTTCTTACTTAACTTCTCTGTGCTTGTCTTTCTTATCTATAAAATGGGAATAATAACGGTATCTACCTCTTAGTTTCATTGTACTTAGGTGACATAGTTAGCCCTCCATAAATGATAGCTATTTACAAACAACCTGTTATGAACAGAATTGCATTCCTCTGCCATCTTAGAAGATGGCCTGCCCTTCCCAGCCCTGGGGAAGACCCCACCAGCAACTGTAGTCAGGTTTCTCCCCAGCAGTAGTCCTCCACCTGGGCTCTGAATTTCTTTCTTACTCTCATTCCTCTTTGCCCACCCTTCCTGCCGGTAATCTCTCTGTATTCCATCCCCAGCCTTGGAGCTGGTGAAGGAAGCCATCGACAAGGCTGGCTACACAGAAAAGATTGTCATTGGCATGGATGTCGCTGCCTCGGAGTTTCATCGTGATGGCAAATATGACTTGGACTTCAAGTCTCCTGCTGATCCTTCCCGATACATCACTGGGGACCAGCTGGGGGCCCTCTACCAGGACTTTGTCAGGGACTATCCTGGTGAGAACAAGGGGTGTGGGAGGAAGGGCAGCGTGAGGGTCAAGGGACAGGCAGGGATGTGTGGGCAACTCTGGACTGTATGGGGTGCTGGTAGGTGTCAGGCAGAGGTCTAAGAAGAGCCTGAAAATCAGGACCGAGCACGGGGAGGAGCCAGGTCCTGAGACCAAGAGCAGAGACAAGCTTTGTAGGTAGTTTAAATTTGCAGGTACCCATGGTGAATCTGTTTTATCTACTTCTGTCCTAATTAAAGTCATGCGTTCCAAAGTTACCAGGATCACAGGGAGGGCTTTGGAAGGAACCAGCGGTGGTGAGAGGGTGACGGGGCCCAGCAGGGAACTTGTATGTGTCAGTGTTTTTTGTTTTGTTTTGTTTTTAAGATTTTGTTTATTTATTTGACAGAGAGAGAGAGGGAACACAAGCACGGGGAGCAACAGGCAGAGGGAGAGGGAGAAGCAGGCTCCCCACTGAGCAGGGAGCCCGATGTGGGGCTCGATCCCAGGACCCTGGGATCATGACTTGAGCTGAAGGCAGATGCTTAACCGACTGAGCCATCCAGGTGCCCTGTGTCAGTGTTTTTGACTGATGAAGTTGTGGATGCTGAGTGGACCGGCAGGCGCTGTGAGAGTAGAACAGAAAGGCTGACGAGGAGCCGAATTATCCTCTCCAAGACTTCAAGGGCTGTGACCCCCACAAGGAGGAAGCTGGTTTCCATTTCCCTGAGACAGAGCAAGAGAAAGTAGACATAAATGCAGAATGAAGGATTTCGAATAGCATTGAGGAAAAGCTTCCTAGTAGTGAAAGTGGGAAAATGCAAAAGAGTGAGAGTCTTTTGAGAAAGACTCTGAACCATTGGGTTTTTTGGGAAGGTTTTCCTTTTCTTTTTTTATTTTCTTTTAAAGATTTTATTTATTTGAGAGGGAGAGAGCATGGGGGTTGGGGGAGCAGAAGGGGTGGGGGAAAGAATCCCAAGCAGACCCCATGCTGAGTGTTTGGAGCCCGATGCAGGGCTGAATCCCACAACCCCGAGATCATCACCTGGGCCGAAACCAAGAGTCAGACACTCAACTGACCGAGCCACCCAGGTGCCCCTGGTAGGTTTTCTGAAAGAATCGAGCTGAGAATCAGGCAGGCTTATCTTGGAGGCAGGGAGGCAAGGAAAGGCAGGCTCAGTTAGCCAGGGGAATCTATATCCATTTCAGGGAGCCATAGTGGGGAGGTGTTCCTGCCTGATGCGGAGCCCCTCCTGCTCTCTCTCCAGTGGTCTCCATTGAGGACCCCTTTGATCAGGATGATTGGGCTGCCTGGTCGAAGTTCACAGCCAATGTAGGGATCCAGATTGTGGGTGATGACCTGACGGTGACCAACCCAAAGCGTATCGAGCGGGCCGTGGAGGAAAAGGCCTGCAACTGTCTGCTGCTCAAGGTCAACCAGATCGGTTCGGTCACTGAAGCCATCCAAGCGTGAGTGTCCTCTGGCTCTCCCTGACCCAGCAGCCCGTTGCTACAGGAAACCTCCGGCAAGTGCTCCCAGCCTCGTCCTGGCACAGAGGCTGAAGAGAGTGGGGAACCTGTAGTCACTTTCTCCCCCATGCCTTTTGGCCCTCCCAGAGAGCTTTGTGCCAGACCAGTGTTGGGGCTGGGAAGGGAGTGCCCTGCGTGAGGGGCTGGGGGTCAGTGCCGGTGTGTGGCCGCAGGTGCAAGCTGGCCCAGGAGAATGGCTGGGGGGTCATGGTGAGTCACCGCTCTGGAGAGACCGAGGACACGTTCATCGCCGACCTGGTGGTGGGGCTCTGCACAGGCCAGGTGAGTGCAAGGGAGAGCTCTGTGCGGTTGGTGGGTTCTGGTCAGGTGGCTGGGTCTCTCTTTCCACGTGTTTTTGGGTGTCAGGGGAATGTCAAAGGAGTGTTAAGTTTTCTTATAGGAGACGGAGGGGCAGCCACTGAGCTGCTTATCTTTGGGCACGTTTCAGATCAAGACTGGAGCCCCGTGCCGTTCGGAGCGTCTGGCTAAGTACAACCAGCTCATGAGGTGAGGATACCTGGGGGCTGGGAGCCCAGGGCCCAGGGGGTTAAAAGCTCTGTTTGCTCACCATCCCACCTCCAGCACCCAGGGCCTGGAGAACAGTAGTTATCCAGAAAATACTTATTTTGGAATGATGGCTTTACTGATCAGCGGCTCCCATAATCACGTGGGAATGCCCACGCTTGGGCCAGGACATCGAAGCAGCTGCTGTGACGGATTTGGAGGATAGGGGCCCCCCGGGAAAAGAAGCAGGATCCTCCCTGCTTCCCTGACTCTTTCCTCTCTGGCTCCTCTCTCTCAGAATTGAAGAAGAGCTGGGGGACGAAGCCCGCTTCGCTGGACATAATTTCCGCAATCCAAGCGTGCTGTGATCCCTCTCCTTGCCCGGAGACTAGGAACCCCTTTGCCACTCTCCTGGAACCTCTTTCTTCCTGTTCTGCTCTGTGACACCTCTCCCCGGACCCCCGGCTGACCTGCTGCGCTCTTCCTTGGCTTGTCCAGCCCCGGCTGTGTGCTCTTCCTTCTCTGGGTTCCACACTCTCCACTTCTCTGTCCTTTCTATTCTCTCTCCTCAAAAACTGGCCATGGGACTGAGGATTATAAGGGAGTCCATGGAAGAACAGTCAGGGTCTGGGAAGGGTGCGTCTGGGTTGGTTGGTGAGGCGTGTCGAGAGGGGCCGTGTGTCACTGTGTGTGTCGCTTCCACCTGTCTTCCATGTTGTGTAGGAGTCAGGAGGCATGGCCAGCCGAGGTGGAGGGGCATGCTGGCGGCATGATCGTGCCTGGCCCGAGCTCTTAGTGGATTATTTATTCATTTATTTATTGTTCATTTGTCTTCATCAATTTCTCATTTCTCCCTAACTCCAGTGTCCAAACCTGGCCTGACCGGAAATGAATGTGTGTGTGTGTGTGTGTGTGTGTGTGTGTAACGTGGCCAGAGATTCGGAGATGGCCTGGGGCTGGGAGGTCTTGCTGGAATGGGAAGGGTAACAGAAAAGGGCCTTGCTCATCAGCTCCTTTGTGTCCACCAGCCCTTAACCGAAGCCGGCTTGGTCCAGAGGTAGGGCTGTGGGCCTGGGGACTCTTTCCCCTAACTCTCTCCTCAGCCCCGGCTTCCCTGTTCTTCCTCCAGCTGCACCAGAGCAATGTCTCACTCCCCTGTGCCACATTCCACAGTTGCCACCACCTCTGTGGTGTGGAAATGAGCACCACCATTAAAGTCTGAATCACAGTGCTTTGTTGTGTCTGAAGAGTCTTACTCTAGTCCATATGAGGGGAGAGAAGATGGAGCACCCGGAAGTTGGTGAACCTGCATAGCAGAGCTGGGGAGGACCCAAAAGAGGAGGAAACCGAACAAGTATGGCTAAGATGATGGCACTGGCTACCCCTCCCTGGCCAGGTGGGGACCCTGCTTCCCCTGCCTTGCCAGCAGAAGCCTGGCCCCAGGACCCAGGCAAATGAAGGGTTCTCAAGTCTGGAGTCTGAGCGTTCCTAGAAGTGTCAAAGATTTTGTGCGTGTGCGTTTTTAGGAAGAGGGGTTCAGAGTGTTCTCAGATTCCTGTAGGAGACCAAGCCATGGATGGACTAGAGAAGTTCCTATCTAGGCGTCTCCCCACGGGCCATTCCGAGCTGCACCAGCACTGTGTGGGTATCACCTGTGAGATGGGGAACTAGGGAGAGAAGAGTGGAAAAGAGTGGAACCAGTGGACACAGAGGAGGGTCTGTGGAAATGGAGTCTTCTAGTAAACTGGGGAGTCAGAACCACGAGTGCTGGGTTGGCCTGCGTAGGGCCCCCATGTGCGGCTGGAGACCCACTATCACTCTTCAGCTCCAAGGGGGCCCTGACTGACTTTGACTGGGGCCCAGCAACCACCCAGAGGGAGAAACCATCTCTCCTAGGGCTGGGATACAGACCGAGCCCAGCATGTAAGGGCTACACATGGGGAGCTGTGGCCACTAGAGGGAGGCAAGGTTCCGCTGGACGCCATACTCACCCTAAGCTAGGGGTGGGATGGGAGGAATTTCAAGGTTGTCCCTTCTGTGGGCCTCCTAAACTGCTTCTACTCTGAGTTCTGGTCCTGCGCGCTCTGCCATTCTGCCCAGCTCCAGGACTAGAAGAGGATTTGTTCCTGTATGGGCAAGACCCATTTCTCTGTTCTTCTTTCTGTGTCACTGACACCTCAGCCATTTTCAGTTCAAAGAGCTTCTTGCCCCTGTTCCTCTATGCCTCTTAATTTCAGTGTGGACATCTCATCTTTCCCTTCTCTCCTGTCTCCTGGCGACCCTTTCCGTTTCCCTTGGGGCACACTGTACTTTTCTCTGGGCCTCTCGGTTTTCTCTGGGGTCCATGATAGCCATCTTTCTTCTCCAACTCCTGGACTGACCAGGACTGTTTCAGACCTCTGCCCTTTCCTCCCTCCTTGCTAGGTGGCCTTCTCTGGCAGCCATGCCCACCCCTAACCACCCCCCCCCCGCCCCCGCTCCCGCCAGGTACCGGGTTGGATTGGGTTACAGCTAGTTGTCTGGGCCTCCCAGGCCCCTCTCCCCACTTTCCCTTTGTGCCGTTGCCTAGATACCAGTGGGTTGTGGGGGGCTGGGGCCATAAAGGGAGCTGGGAAGTGTGATGATGGGGTGTGTGTGTGTGTGATGCACCCCAAAGCTGAGTGGTGAGCCTGGTCCTCAGGTCAGAGAGGAATTGGAGGTGGTAGGCCCTGGCTTCTCTGATGCTCCTTATCTTCCATTCCTACCTCTGCCTAAATTTTTCTTTTAGGTTCAGGTGTGTCACCATCCTAGCCTATCCCTCAGTGGTTAAAAAACAAGAGAGAGCAGTTCAGCCTAGAAGGGAGACGGGAAGGGCCTGGGCCACCCTGGGCCACGGGCCCAGTGGGAGACTGAACTGAGAAGTTCAGAAAGAGAGGAAATGCAATGGAGAGTGAGGAGGAGGAGTCTTGGAACAAAGTTGTGGGGGTGGGGAGAAGGAGCTGGGGCCATTCTAGGGCACTGAGGAAGGGAGGGCAGGGATCAGCGGGGAGAAGGAGATAGGGAGCTGGCCTGGTCTCTGGAGGGCCCTGAGGGATAAAAAAGGTGGGCATGGGGTAGAAAAGTGAGTGGCCAATACAGAGGCTTTGCAGAAGAGTGGTGATTCACTGCTAGGCCACAGAAGCCTTCTGGCTCGGGTTCTCCAGTGCTTTAGAATCTGTTAGAGCTTTTGGTAGTCCCAGAACCTGGCTGAGCCTGACCCAAGGAAGTATGAGGCAAAACCCACTGAATTGCTACAAATCCAACCTCCTTCCTTTCCAGAAGCCTGGTGGGATCCTACCATTCAGGGCCCATCCTTGGCCTCTAGCTGGCTTGCCCCCTCACATGCTCTACTCCCACCCCCAATCTGGAGAACTAGTAAAGGCTCCCAATCCAGACTCCAGCTCCAGCTCTTCCAGTTTCCCAGCCCGCCTCCCTCCCATTCTCTGGCCTTCCCAATCTCAGCTGCCAAAAATCACCCAGTGTTTTGGTGTCCTTTGTCCTGGGAGATGTTGCTGTTTGGTGTGGGGCCAGGGAGACAGACCAGAAGAAGACACTGGTGGTGGACTGGTGGGGGTGCTGGCTTCAGGCTGGAAGACTGGAAATGGCTGGCTGGCAGACCGGGGGTTGGGTTGAAGGAAAAACCTGTGTTCTGGGGGTGGGTGGGGATTGTCTGCATAGTAGGAGGATTGGGATTGGGGGACCACGGTACCTAGGGATTTGGCTCCACCTTGAGCCTAATCCCCACTGGACCCCTTCCCTGTGGCCCAGAGTACAATCTGTGATGACTTGGAACAGGTTTGAGAAGGAAAATGGAGCCACCACCAGACATAAGGGCCTGAAGATGGTGCCCCGCTCTTATAAATTAATCCCTTCCCTACACGGGGGTGCTTGCCTTCTCCCATTTCTATCATTTCCTTCTACTGCTTTCCCTTCCCATCTCCACTCTGGTCTTTCCCATCTCTGACCTCCCTCCATACTGCCACCAAAGGCCTTGTTTATCTTACATTTCCTTCTAATCTTCTTTACCCACTTCCCCTCTGCCCCCGCCCCACTGTATCCACCTTTGTCTAGCCAACCCAAACCCTCTTCAGTTCTCTTGGAACCCCCCCATCTCCAGAATCCAGCCATCCTGGTGTCTCCCCACCCTTTCCCACCCAGCTCTACAGGTCCCCAAGAATATGCCTCTGCCCCCACCTCCTTCATCCCTTCTTAAGGTTCCTCACCTTTCCCGTTCTCTCCATGCTGACATCTCTGGACTTTCTCCAGCTTTCCATCATCACCCCCACTTCTTATGTTCTCTATTCTTTTCCCAACACCTATCACCTCCAAACTACTCTCTTCCAGAAACACCATCCGCATATATATATATATATATATATATATATATATATATATATATATATGTATATATCTTTTCAATTTCTTCCCCTCCCCATGACCTCAAGCTTCCATCCCATTCTCCGCATCATCGCCCCCACCTCTCCTGCTACGTGTCACCCCAAGCTTTAGTCACCCCTCCTTGTCACATACCTCACTGTCCCCCAAAGCCCCCACGTAGCTCCATTTTCACAATGTACCCCCATTAGACCAATCTCTGCCACACACCCAACAACCTTCTACTTCCTCTCTGCCACAGACCCCCTCGGCCCCCAAACTTCTCCAGTCTCCCCCCTTCTCTGCCCTTAAAACCGATAGCCCCTCCCACCTAGCCCTCTCCGGTTCCCCACATTCCGCCTCGGCGAACCCCTCCCCGCGCCCCAGCCCCCTCAGCCGGCCTGGCCAACTCACACAGCGCCTCCCCCTCTCCGGATCCCCCTCTCTCCCCCCTCGCAGCTTGCCTCGCGCTCCCTCCCTCGCGTCTCCCTCCTGGCCCCTCTCTCCTCCGTTCCTCCGCGCTCCCTCCTTCTCCCTCTTCCTCCCTTCTCCCATCCCCCTCTCCCAAGCTCCCTCCCTTCGCCGTCCGCTTTCCTGTGCGAGTCGCCGGACGCGCCGCCCAGCCCGCCCGCAGCCCCGCGTCGGGCCGGGGCCTCGGGCTGGGACCCATTTAGGGGGCACCGCTGGCCTCGAAGAGGGGCTAGGAGGGGGTGAGGCGTGGGGGACGACCGCCCGGGAAGGGGCGGGGGCCGCGGGCGGAGGCCGCCTAGGGGGGCCAGGGATCGCGCGAGTGCGGGCTGCGCGGGGCCGGCGCGGGCGGCGGGCGGGAGGCGGCGGGTCAGAGCCGCGCGGAGGGCCAGCCGGGCCGCGGGGGCGAGCGGCGCGGCGGGGGCGGGCAGCGCGGCCCGGGCATTCCGGGCGGCCTGGGGGAGGTGGCGGGTCTGGGGAGGGGCTGAACGAGAGCGCGGACCGGGATCTGCTCCGAGGGGCAGGCGGGCTATCGGGGCCAGGTGGGGGGGAAAGGTGGGGGATGGGGGCCGCCCTCCGGGGGGGCCGGGGCCGTCGCCGCCGCCGTCGCGGCGGCGACTGAAGCCGGGAAGAGGAGAGGGGGGCGGGGGAGCGGCCGCCGCCGCCCCCCCGGAGGCGCCGGAGCCCCGAATCTCGCTCGGAGCCAGCCAGCCGTCCCGAGCTACGACCAGGTAAGACCTGCTGCCGTCCCGGCCTCGGGCCCGCCCGGGTTCTGGCCCGCGGCTCCCCCCCCCCACCCCTCCCAGTTCCCCCTCCCGCCGCCGCCGCCGGCGCCTCCATTTGTTATTTTCCAGACCCGGTACCCCCACTGCGGGCTCTGCCCGGGCCGAGGCTGGGGTTGGGGGGGGTTCAGGGGGTGGGGCCGGACCCGGTGGAGGGATGGGGGCCCGGGTACCCGGAGGACCGGGAAGGTGGAGGGAGGTGGGAGGGTCTCTCAGGAGGAGGGCTGATGGGGCAAGAGGGTAGCCGGGACCCCGGGACCAAAAGAGAAGCACCGAGGTGGAGGGTTGGCAGAGGAAAAAGGGGGGGGGATGCCCGCGAGGGGGCTTCAGGCGACGGCAAAAAAGGAATGGAGATATGGCAGCGAGGTGGGGCATTAGGGCTCCAGGAAAAGGCCCAGAGCCCGGGTTTCAGAACTCGGGGCTGGGGGTGCAAGGTATAGAAGGGAAGTGAGAAATGGGGAAGGGGTGTGGTAGGTGGAAAGAGAGGGATTGTAGCTGATGAGGGAGAATGGAACCTGGGGAAAGGGAGGCTCTGAAAGGGCCGAGGAGAGGTCCACCTTCGAGAAGCAGCAGCAGAGGTGTTATGGGG